AATATTTCTAATCCTTCATCTACTCACATCACACCCACAAAGTATATGAATTTCAGCTTCCTGATTGTTGTCTTAAAACAACAGTCAATCTTTATTTTATCCAGGAATAAATAATGGATTCTTACTATCGTATATATCTCTAGGTCTCTATCTCTATCGTCTCTATCTCTATCTCTATCATATCCATCCATCCATATCTATCTATCTATCTATCTATCTATCTATCTATCTATCTATCTATCTATCTATCTATCTATCTATCCCAAAGACAAATTCCTTGTGTGTCCAATCACACTTGGCCAATAAAGAATTCTATTCTATTCTATTCTATTCTATTCTATTCTATTCTATTCTATTCTATTCTATTCCATTCCATTCCATTCCATTCCATTCCATTCCATTCCATTCCATTCCATTCCATTCTATATATCCATCCATCCATCCATCGATCCATCCATCCATCTGAACATTTGTGAACATACAGCAGGTGTGTATACACATAAGTTTATAAATATATTCAAGTAAATATATTGCATAACCCAAACTGATTAGATCAGTTAATTGATCTTCATTTTTCATAGGGGTGGGACAGCCTTTTCCTAAGCACATTACATTCTCTATTAAATATTTTATTTTTGTTTGTTATCTGTATCGTATCTGCCTGAATATGAAATTAAATAATTTCATGCCATCTTTCCAGACAAACCTTTTCCAAAGCTCAGCTGACAGCTATTCGAAGCTATCTCAGACTGAATGCTGCTTTTGTCCTCTCTCAGATATCAGTTTATTATGTATTGTATTTAGCTGCTTGGAATATTTATGTATTAGAATTTAGTCAAGGCGACTGTAGAATAAAATCAAGACAAATTTGACAGCACGTTATAGGTGTCAATGGTCTTATTATGTGCAATTGGCAGAAAGGTTGGAATATACCGGTAGTCCTTGGTTTACAACTATTCATTTAGCGACTGTTTGAAGTTACAACAACAAAAAAAATATTTATGACCAGTCCTCACATTTAAAGCTGTCACAACATCCCCCCAGTCACATAAACAAAATTCAATCACATGGTAACTGGAATATATTTATAACACCTGCAGCATCCTGAAGTCCTTTGAGCACCATTTGTGACCTTCCTAGCCAGCTTCTAATAGGCAAAATCAGTGGGGGAAGTCAGACCCGTTTAATGACTGTGTGATTCAATTAACCGCAGTGATTTATTTAACAGCTGCATAAAATAGGGTGAGACTCACTTAACAACCATCTCACTTAGCGATGCAAATTCTGGTCCTGTAAATCAAGGACTAGCCCCATACTTACTGCCCAAATTGGCCATTTCCTCCCTCCCTAGGCTTCATAATCTTTGTATTTCTCCAGTACAGTTTAGATTTATCTATATTTGAACCATAGAAATCAAATTGGCCTTCCTTCTTTACCATCATCCATTTGAAGTTCACTAAGTACGGTGGATGAAATTGTCCTAATTCTTTTCTCTTTCTCTTTTTGTAAGAGAAAAGTTTTCTAAGCCGCTAGGCCTTCTCTGCTTTCAGCCAGCAAAGTGATTATGCCTGCACATGTCAGACTGGAAGCATTTCAATCTCAATATAATTTCAGCGGTCATCTCTTTCAATCCTTCCCCAATCTTGCCATAATAAATTCACTGTGGATGTTAAACAGAGACAATGTCTCTGTTTGTTTGTTTGTTTATTTATTTATTTATTTTAATTTGATTTATATGCCGCCCTTCTCCGGAGACTCAGGGTGGCTTACAATGTGCTAAGCTAAGCAATAGCCTTCATCCTTTTGTATATTTATACAAAGTCAGCTTATTGCCCCCACAACTGGGTCCTCAATTTACCTACCTTAGAAAGGATGGAAGGCTGAGTCAACCTTGACTTTAATGATTTATGTTTAACAAATCTGTTTAATGATGGAAACTAATCAAGGAAGAGAAGCAACCTAGAACTAAGGATTAATTTCCTGACAGTGAGACCAATCAACCAGTGGAACGCCTTGCCTTCAGAAGTTGTGAGTGCTCCATCACTGGAGATTTTTAAGAAGAGACTGGACAGTTACTTGTCTGGAATGATATAGAGTCTCCTGCTTGTACAGTGGGTTGAACTAGAACAGAGGTCTTCAAACTTGTCAGCTTTAAGACTTGTGGACTTCAGCTCCCAGAATTCTGTAGCCAGCTGTTCTGTCCCCGTCTCACACACGCACACCAGCAGTCGACCAAGAGTTAAAATAAACCAGCAGACAAGAATTTCCTTTGATAACAGAATTGGCAGCAACCCAGTGGTTGCTTGCCAACAGTTTTTTACTTACAAAGGGAGGTTTATCTCCTCCGACCGAAAACATCAAAGTCCACAAAAGCCAAAGAATAGTCAAGTCCAGTCCAAAAAATCAGTCCAAGCAGAGCATATAACAAAATTCCAGAAATGCAGAATGACTTGCTAGCTTTCAGTTTTTGTCCATCACAAAGCCTGAATGGCCACCACACCCCCTTTTATCCTGTGGGGTGTGGTCCAGTGACTCAGCTTAATCTCTGGCATGCCTCCTTCTCTGCTGCATGCGCTTGTCTTTCCGACGCTGTCGGGGATCCAGCCAAGACTTATCTCCGTCGCTGTCTAACTGCGGCTGCTCGGAAGTGCCTGGCTCCTGGCCTATCTCTTCTCCTTCGGAAGACACCTGAGGCATTGCCAGAGAGGAGGGTCCTGGAGAGGGAGGCCTTGCCAACTCCTCTCCTTCACTTTCGGAGTCTTCTCCCTCTGATAAGACGGGCTCGGGAGTCGGAGTCATAACACCAGCATAGCTGGCTGGAGAATTCTGGGAGTTGAAGTCCACAAGTCTTAAAGCTGACAGGTTTGAAGATCTCTGGACTAGAAGATCTCCAAGATCCCTCCCAACTCTGTTATTCTGAAATTTTTAGTACAATGTGGAAACTATGTGGATTTCTCTCTTATTCTTTTCTTATTATGAGTTACACTGTTTCTCTAGGACAGGGTGTCAAACTCAAGGGTGCTTAGATCTGGCCTGCAGTGGGCCCTGTCTTTGCCCAGCAAAGGACCAGCCCACGGTGCTTCTACCAGAGAAAACAGAGCCTGGGGAGGAGGCTGCGCGTGGCCTGCCCGGGCTCCGTTTTCGGCCACAAAGGTCTCCTGCAGCCCTCTGCCAGCAAAAATGAAGCTCGGGGAGAGGGCTGGCAGAGGGCTCCAGGAGGCCTTTGTGGCCAAAAATGGAGCCGGGCGGGAGGCCATGCACAGCCCCCCCAGGCTCTATTTTTGCTGGCAGAGACCTGCAGAGGCCATCGAGGCCGAAACGGCACCTCGAAGAATGACATCGAGCTGGCCATGCCCATCCCGGCCACACACCCCTAGGTCAAACAACACCCTGATGTGGCCCTTAATTAAATCGAGTTTGACACCCCTGCTGTAGGAGCTTTTTGTCCTACGTTCTGTGGTTTCCATGTTAGAGTATAACTATCAATCAAAACTAGAATAATTAACAAGAGGCTACTGATCAGATGCAACCTTAAGTTAAATAAAGCATTATGTTTCTTCAGTTGTGGTTCGTAAAAGATCTGGATGTTCTAACAGATCACAGGTTGAACATAAACCAACAGTGCAATGCAGTTGCAAAAAAATAAATGCTATTTTGGGATGTATTAACAGGAACAGAAGTGCGGTTCACAGAATAAATAGGCTTTGCATGGAATTTGATATTTGAAGAGTTCTTGTCATATAAAGGAGGGATTAAATTTGCTTTTTTTGGCCACAGAGGGAAGGAATAGAACATGGGTTGTGACTGCAGGGAAGCAGATTCAGGCTGGATACAAGGAAAATCTTCCTGACATAAGACCTGTCAACCAATGGAATATAGTACATCAGTGTTCCTCAACTCAGTTGCTGACTGGGGAATTCTGGGAGTTGAAGTCCACCCATCTGAAAATGGCCAAGATTGAGAAGCACTGTAATAGGTTGCCTCTTGAACTGGTATAGTCACCTTCACTGGAAGCTTTTAAACATCTGTTCAAAATACTTTAGCAAATCTTGTGCTGAACAGTATTTGGAGCAGATGACTTCCAAGGTCCCTTCCATTTCTTTGTTTTTTCCTCAAGTTTTATTTGTTTTATTTATATAACATTCAATTTTCATCAAACAGTGTGTGTTCTGGGTATAATTATGTTTAAATAGTCACATTTATACATCTTTGTTGTGGTAAGTCATCACCATCATGTTAATAATATAACAATATAATAATTAATATAATAACATTAATACTTAACATTTAACCTCCTCATCGTTAGGTCCCTTCTATTTCTGATGCTGATTTTACTCCCCTTCAGCCATGTCCCATGGTTTTCCTTGAGTTAAGCTTTCTTGTTTCCGGTTAGCAAGAAACCAAGGTAATTGCATAGAAGCTGTCCTCGACATACGGCCACAAGTGAGCACAAATTTTCCGTTGTTAAGTGAGTTTTGCCCCATCTTACGACCTTTCTTCCCACAGTTGTTAAGTGAATCACTGTAGTGGTTAAGTTAGCAACACAGTTGTTAAGTGAATCTGGCTTCCCCTGCTTGTCAGAAGGGTTTTTAAAAGTGATCACATGACCCCGGGACACTCCGACTCTGTAGAAAGAGAAAAGCCAGAACTTTCCTAACATAAAAACTTTTTTTCCAGTCTTAAACTGGGGTGCAATGGCATGAATTCCAGGAAGCAGCAAAATTAAAATCTTGCAGATGAGGTCAAGATTTGTTGTATATGAAGGATGAACTGGTTTCATTCTTCCTTTTTTGCACGCATGGTTTTTGTTTTCTTGCTTTTCAACCCTTATTTTATATTCGTTGTTAGTTTTTAAACTCCTTTTAATTTTTTTAAAAAAATCATATGCATAATTAGCACAACGTTATTAAAGACAAAAGCACCAGGCTGGGCGGGGCTGCTGCCTACAATATTCCAAGTGTGTCATCTCTGGATCTGAAACTGCAAGGATAGTAAAACTACATCTCCCAGAATGCTTCTCTCCATTCTCCACATCTGCTTCCTCCTTTCCTTTTGACAAAGCCATTTCTGATGCACAGAGTAGAAGAGCTTTTCAGGCTGACCGGGCGCCCCGTTTATTCAAGAAGATGGTGTGACTCATAATTGGTGGTAGGTGAAGAGTTGCAAAAGGAAAAGAAAGTGGGCCAGCATTTGCTTTCTGGGAGGGAGGGAGGAGGAGGAGGAGCAGGGGACCCCGGTAGGTGACAGCAGAAAGCTGGCAAGGAATGGGTTTAACCTAAACAGCATTTGGAAATCAAATTCACCAAATTAACTGTACAGTAATGCCCGGATGGTCCAGATCTCAGAGGACATTCCTGATTTTTCACCCCCCTTTCCAATTTAGCCTGCCGTTATGTGGCTAGGAAAATAGCATCGTTCCTGCGCCATGAGGATGTGGGAGAGACCACGTTGGCTTGCAAGAACCGGACAACTTTAGCTGGTGAGACAGAGATACCCTCTCTCCCAATAGCCAGCTTCAGTCGGTTGGCAAAGTCTCCTTGGGGGAAAAAGGTTCAAGAAAAAAAAAGGGGGGGGGGAACTAAGCTAGGAGCTGGATGGCCCTGATGTATCTCACTGCTGTTTTGTTGTTGTTTTTTTCTTTTGCAGGTATCTCCAAAAAGCCAGCAGGGTCTGAATCCACTCCTTGTTCAGGCAGCGAAAAATATCCTCATGCAGCTATTTCGGAAGTCAGAACCCAGGAACCAAACTCCTGATGAAATAAAATAGGAAGGACGGCAGAGTGGAAAATGACGGTTTGTTTGACAAAATCCTGCAGGAAGTGAACAGACCTGAGCATCCCTTATTCTGCCCTCCTCTCGTTGTTCCGCAATGAAAATAAATTTAAATAAAAGAAGCGTTTCATGCATTTTTTTTTTAAAAAAAGAGTGAGCATTTAACAAAAGGTGATTTGGGCGCTGATGAGGGGGGGTGATCTTGCAATGTAGAATTCACATTGATTTCTTTTTGACAGTAATAGGAAGCAATCTGAGATTGGTAGTTTCAGAGATAAGATTTAGAGCCTATAGTACAGTGGACTAAAGTACTGTTATTAACATCTGCTGCTTGCAATTACTGCAAGTTCAAATCTCACCAGGCTCAAGGTTGACTCAGCCTTCCATCCTTTCAAAGGTAGGTAAAATGAGGACCCAGATTGTGGGGGCAATAAGCTGACTTGTATAAATATACAAAAGTATGAAGGCTATTGCTTAACGCATTGTAAGCCGCCCTGAGTCTCCGGAGAAGGGTGGCATATAAATTAAAGCAAAAAAAAAAAAAAAAAGGTTTGGCAAATTGCAGTGATGGAATGAAAACACAATACACTACCTCAGTTTCTCTCCCTCAGAAGATTAAAAAAGTTGTTAGGGTTCTCACAAAAAAAAAAAAAAATTACAAGTTTAAGAGATCTACTTCCTTATTTAATAAAGCTCAAGATTTACCAAGCAGGCTTGATGAAAAATAGAAGCGGACTGACATATACCAAAGATTCTTAAAGTTTTCATATTCGTTTTTGTTTTAAAGATTTTAAGTGCTGTTACAATTAATTTAATCTACATTATAGCATACATTTAGGCTATTTTTGTTATTTATTTTACTTATTTAATAACCTGCTATTTATTAATAGCATATTGTCCTTTTTTTACATATAGGCACACACACATACATACATACACAGTATAGACTTCTATCACTTTAATGCCCCTGGACAAAGAGAAAAAAAAAGAACAAAAAAGCATTACAACAAAATTCTCCTTTAACAGTTTTGTTGCAATTTTGTCATAACTGCGGTCATACGTATGATATATTTATACTGTTTTCTTTTTAAAGTATTTTGCTAAACAGTGTTTGACGTGTTGTTTTCCATCCAAAAATCCTCGGTTACTAGGCAGATCTTTCCTTTTAAAATGTTCCTTTTTAAATGCTTAAGAAAAAGAAAAAGCTGTTTCCTATTGCTCTGGGGTCAAGATCTTAATAATGTACAGTAATCATTCACCATCCCACCTACTCAGCTCCTGAGGAAAGGAAGTAAATAGATCAATACGGTTAAAACAATATGAGAAACTGAAGAAGCTGCTTGGATGAGAAGCGAAATGTCTTCAAACTAAAACCAGAAAGTCCAGTTGCCTCTTGAAAAAGCACCTTTGGGATAAATATGAGAAACTGTTTATATTTTTTCCTGTTAGGCAATATATGCTCACCCACTATACCCCATTTTAAAAAATTCATGTATATATAATAAAATACAGTCTCCTGCTAAAGAAAATTGTTACATAAATATAGAAGAAAGGCCTATACAGGAGCCGGGAAAAAGGTAGCAAAGATTTCATTATATAAAAAGATGGAAGAGTGATAGCTAAGATTTAAACCTTGAAGTCTCACATATAGACACAATGGAGTCCTGTATCCTGCAGTTGCTGATCTTCGGCATACGTAACACTTAATTTGTTTAAAATATTGTATTTAACTGAGCCCTTCAAGGTTCTGCTGTGAGCCAGATACTGAGATGGTTGCAGTGTCCGTGTGGTCAGGCACTTGGCAACCAGGATGTATATACAATCATTACAGCAATCCAGGGGTCACCTGTGACCTTCCCAGCCAGCTTTCAACAAGCAAAGTCAATGGGGGGCAACTGATTTTGCTTAATGACCACAAGCTTAACAACAGCAGCGAGTTGCTTAACAACCTTGGCAAAAAAGGTCATAAACTAGCGTGCGACTCACTTAACAACCATCTCACTTAGCAATGAAAAGGTTGGTCCTGATTGTGATTGCAAGTTGAGGACTACCTGTACTTATTCTTTAAGTACAGATCTCCATCTGCCATTTCCTCCCTCCCTAGAATTAACCTTTTTATTCAATCACTCAATCAGAACAGAGTTGGAAGGGACCTTGGAGGTCTTCTAGTCCAGCCCTCTGCTAAATCATTTCAGACAAGTGACTGTCCAGTCTCTCCTTAAAAACCTCCAGTGATGAAGCATCTATAACTTCTGAAGGCAAGCTATTCCATTGGTTAATTGTCCTCACTGTTAGGAAGTTTCTCTTTAATTCCAGGCTGCTTCTCTCCTTGTTAGATTCCATCCATTGTTTCTTGTCCTGCCTACAGGTGCATTGACAAATACATAAATACTCTTTGTGGTAACCTCTCAAATACTGGAATATTGCTATCATGTCACCCCTAGTCCTTCTTTTCTCTAGACTGGCCATACCCAGTTCCTGCAACCATATATATGTTTTAGTGTCTAGGCCTTTAATCATCTTAGTTGCTCTTTGTACTTTTTCCAGAGTCTCAACATCTTTTTTGTAATGTGGTGTCCAAAACTAATGAGGTGCAGCCTTACTCAGGCTTTATAAAACGGTACTAATACTTCACGTGATTTTGATTCTATGCCCGTTTATACAACCAAGGATTGTATTCCTCCAGCATGCTAGCTTTAATCTATTTTTGAGCACCTTGAAATCAAAATGGCCTTTCTTGCTTCTTGACCATTAGGTTGAAATTCACTAAGTACAATGGATGGTGTGGCCCCAATACTTTTCTCTTTTTTCTTTTTATAACTCTAAGCCTTCTCTGCTTTCAGCCAATAAAGTGATTATGCCTGCACATTTCAGACTGGAAGCATTTCAACCTCAATATAATTTCAGCGGTCATCTCTTCCAATCCTTCCCTAATCCTTCCTTAATAGATTCACTGCAGAGTTAAACAGGGACAGTGTCAAAACTATGCGGGGATTACTGTCAGCTTTCCTTTCTTATTGTGAGTCACTCTGTTTCTCCAGAGCTTCTCGTCCTATATGCTATGGTTTCTATGCGAAGAGTACAAATATCAAACCACCCTAGAATAATTAGCAAGCAAGACTTATGATCAGATCAGGGTGGATTTGATTTAAATTGAGTTGATTTAAATCACAATTTAAATCATGATTTAAATCACTAGTAAAAAGGCTTGATTTAAATTAATTCGATTTAAATCATAATTTTTAAAGAGCAACTGTCATCTCTGCTACTCCTTTGACCCACTGTTGACTCACCGATAGTCCCAGTGTTGCAGAATATACAGCCTCATGCTACATAACTAAGCTCCATTTCATGCTGAATAAACTAAATTATTTATGTATCTTAAATAGAAAACTATCTTACAATAGATTTTTACCCCAAGTTTTTTATTAAAATAAATTCGATAAAAATAAAAAAAATCCGATTTAAATAAAAAAAATCTGATTTTTTTTTGATTTTTTTTAAAAAAATCATTGATTTTTATCCACCCTGGATCAGATGCAATCTTACGTTAAGGCATTACGTTTCCTCAATTATGGTTCGTAAAAGATCCGGATGTTCTAATACATCGCAAGTTGAACATGCACTAACAGTGTCATGCAGTTGTAAAAAGGTAAATGTTATTTGGGGATGTATTAATAGGAACAGAAGTGCAGTTCCCAGAAATAAATAGACTTTGCATTGATGACTGTGTGACAAAGCAGACTTCAGATATTTGGAGTTGTTGTTATATAAAGGAGGGACTAAATTTGCTTTTTTTTTTGGCCACACAGGGCAGGAGTAGAACATGGGTTGGGCCTGCAGGGAAGCAGATTCAGGTTGGAAGAATTTCTTGACAGTAACATCTATCAACCAACAGAATACAGTAGATTGCCCCTTGAACTGGTAATAGTCACCTTCACTGGAAGCTTTTAAACATCTGTTCAAAATGCTTTAGTTTAGCAGATCTTGCACTGAATGGTATTAGGAACAGATGACCTCTAAAGTCCCTTCCATTTCTGATGCTTCTGATTTTACTCCCCTTCAACCATGCTCCATAATTTTCCTTGGATTAAGCATTCTTCATTATCATGTAACCAAGGTTAACTGGGGATTCCATATTAAAATCTCTGCTAGCTGGAAATGGCAACCCACCCAGGTTTAGAGGACACTTTTAGCTCGAGAGGAGCCTTGGATCACTATTAAAATTTTGTGTGATTCTGAAAGAGATTGGAGAAGACACTTAGTTGCCTTAATTTGCTCCATGTAGTATGTAGCTTTCTGGCAGAGAAAAGTAAGAGTAGATCAGGGTTGCCAAAATTTCAACTCACTGAACCCTTCACGAAATTTCAGATTGTTCATCATCCCAACATTATATGAAAATAATTCAATAAATACCATTTTAACTAAATGTACTACCACTGCTAATAATGATGGTTAGTCTCATCAACCCTTGTAGATGGAGGGAAGAAAAGAAATCCAGAAATATGGCATAAATTTTCCCGAACGCCATCATGCTGCTAAAACAAATAATTCCCTCAACACTGTCAAACTATTTACTAAGGCTGCACTACTATTAATCTTCTCATCGTTCCCGTCACCCATTTCCTTCCTCTTATGGCTGTATGACTGTAATTTTGTTGCTTGTAGCCTTACAATTTATATTGATGTTTCCTGCTTATTTGTACCTTATGACTATCATTAAGCATTGTACCTTATGATTCTTGATGAACATATCTTTTATGTACACTGAGAGCATATGCACCAAGACAAATTACTTGTGTGTCCAATCACACTTGGCCAATATTCTATTCTATTCTATTCTATTCTATTCTATTCTATTCTATTCTATTCTATTCTATTCTATTCTATTCTATTCTATTCTATTCTATTTTATTCTATTCTATTCTATTCTAAATACACATACAAACTACATTATTTAGAGAGAAAGATCTCTAGAAAGAGAAAGCCAGAACATTAATAACACATAATTTTTTTCCCCAGTCTTAAACTGAATTCCAGGAAGGAGCAAAATTAAAACCTTATATATGAGATTAATATCTGTTGTACTTGAAGAACAGGCTTCATTCTTTCTTTTCGCACC